CTCTCTCTCTCTCTCTCTCTCTCTCTCTCTCTCTCTCTCTCTCTCTTAGACCACCGAATTGGCTTTCGCATGAAACCTGTTGGCTACGCGGTCGAGCACACTCGTACATATAGGTACACTTACGAATATTATTATTGCGCGGGGCAGCTCGCGAGGGGAGACCTGACACACGAGACATACTAAGTAGCCATTTAGATGCTACTCCTTTCCTCTATTCGTCTACCTCTCGTTATTTCACTCTTTCTTTCTTTCGCTGTTAGCCAAGAAGGAGGGAGACACGCGAACGTGCCATTTTTCTGCTACCTTATTCCCTCATTTCGTTTCATATTCGCATTTTTAATTCATTCGCATTTCCAAGCTGGCTCGTCCAACCACACGTACGAAATAATATCCTCACTGTGTGTCGAGCATCTAATAGACTCTGCGCGAACGGGTTGCTCGCTCGAGTCACGTCACGTTAAGCTGCGGAAAAGTGTCGCTTCACTTGTAATGTCTGAGAAATTTTTCACTAAAAAGTCGTTCGAAATTCATCAGGCGCGTGCGCTTATTTGTAAAAATCCTCTGCCAGAATTATTAGCTGAATCAGATTAAGAGAAAAATACTTTATTTAAATTTAAATTCTCTTGTTAAAGTGGAATAAATAATTACTCTCGAGAAAAATTAAGGTTTTAAGAAAATGTACATTTTTTTTGTTTGAAAAATATTTTATACTACGGTGTTATTATAAAGTATCAAGAGGATGAAATCGGGGGAAGAATAGGGTTCCTTGATAGCCTATATTTTCTACAGGTTTTTAAAGAATAATTTTGTCTAATTTTGTCAAAGAGTTTTAGAGTTTATAGTTTTTTTCATTTATAGTTCATTTTTTCTATTTTTTCAATTTTTGGATATTTTTTCAGTACAGAAGACGAGAAACAATGTTGCACGATGCGTGCACAAGCTACGCTTGCGATTCCGCATTTATTTACAACTTGCATCGTAATAATTAAATCACTTATCATCAATTGATGAATGACTCACTACTAACTGACTAATCATCTGTATGCTGGTTATCGGTTACTGCCCGATCGTTCGTGAGCGGATCCGATTCCAAGAAGAGCACGCGATGATACCTTGTAGAGTGAAAAATAATACAACAGACTCTCGCGGCGAACGAAACGATAGTTTGATCCCAAGGAGCGCTCGCGCTCAATTAAAATTTAAACGAGCACATTCACGAGAACTCCGCCGTGGCGCTCGGGCCTCAACGGGGTCCACTTAACGAGCGCTACGTCAAACGGCCGTTCGTTCCTCGCCGGCGAGAATGATTCGCGAATCTATTCTTCTCGCGGGCATCAAGCGAGGCATCGGTCATGGGAGATTAGACGGTCCGACCGGTAAAAACGACACCTGGCGCGTAGGAAACCCAAGGATAGGAAATACTTGTATGCTGTGCGCACAGAGGCTACTCTCTTCTCTACCTCTCTTCCTCTAACTTTCTCTTGCTTCTCCTCTTTCTCTCTCTCTCTCTCTCTCTCTCTCTCTCTCTCTCTCTCTCTCCTCTTCTCGCTCTTTCTCCTACTTGACCGCGAGCTCCGAAATGTCCGGCACAGTTCACATAACCTCTTGATCCTGATTAGAATATGAGTGAGGTGTAGCTCCGATAGCTTCGCTCGGGTTAATGCCGCCGGCCGCGATTCTCGCGCCGTTACCGCACACGTGCGCGCACCGGCACCCGGAAGCGACCGCGCGGAACCGGTGCGGTGTCCGGCCGTGCGCTTTTCCATGGGAAAAGTCTCCCGTTTCGTCCCCGGGATCAGAGGTCGAGGCGACCGCGGCTCAAACAGGTTGTACGCTAACCCAATGAACCAATTCCTCCGTTCGTTCGCGGACGCGCCTGAGAAGATCTCTGCGCGAAGATCTGCGCCTCATCTTCGTCGAATTTCGCCGCTGAAAAATCGAGTCCGCTAGCAGAAATTACAATAGTTTCTCGCGAAGATTGCCGCACAAGAGTGCCCGTAATATAAAGTATATGTCAAATATTTTGCAATAAAGAGAAGATTAAAAGATAAATTTAATTTGATAAATTAATATAACTGTTTGTTTATTTAGTCCTTGCAATAATGAAATTTAAAAAATGTTATAATGTAAGCAAAGTAGAAAGTAATTTGGGTAAAATATTAACTGGAAAAGTTAAATATTTCTACCTCGATCTTCTATTTATTATAAAATATTTGATACACTTATACATGATAATATGCCTGATCACGTAAAATCACGCTTTTGTTACGTAACAATCTTTTTCGTGCGTTGACCTAAATTCATTATTGAATATAGACTTCAATTTATGCTCAGTTTACACTCAGCACTTAACATAATTTAAAGCGTTATGAACATGTTTTTTACGGAAATGTTAATGGCGTAAATCGCAATTCTAAAGAGACGAGGAAGACACGTCCTTAGATTTAATAACCACAATCACGAAATTGATTTGTTATTATTTTGATTTAGAATCGTTGGTATTCATTGTGCGAGACACAAACGCAAGATGTGAGATAAGCAACAGTGTCCAAGCGAGCGCCATTAAATGACTCTGTAATTATTTTCGCCACAATGAGTAACAGCCGTTACTTTCTTCGTTTCGGCTTCTAGTATCTGAATAGCTGAAAGGTGTTACCCCGTACTATAACGAGGTCTGGTTCGCGAGATTGGTAATCGCTCTATTTACCGGGCGTCGTTGTGTTGTGTGCCGTGCGCCCATGAATTTTGCTCGCCTCTTTAAAGACACACTAAAAACCTGCTTTTCGTTCTCGTTGTAGGATACACTTACCTCGGATCTTCGCTTGTGGTGGAGCCGTCCGTAGCCAGCGGAGCCAAGAAACGGTGAGTTTCGCACTTTGCTTCGTTCAAAGGTGTCGAGAGCATGGCTCTTTTGCATGCTTTAAAACGATTTTTGCACAATAGAATAAAAACAAGCACGATAAAGATCAATTTCCATTATCTCCACGATAAAGATCAATTTCCATTATCTCGAAACATTTCCGTATTGCGAGAGAAATGATTCGCATGAAAAAAGAAGTCAAACGCTGATTATCAGCATTGAACAGGCTTGATTTTTATCTTATGCAAGAATCGTACACGGAGAGAATATTGTAGTTTTTTTTTTATATAATTTCTTTTCAATGTTATTATATTTCTCTTTAGTAGTGTAGGAATCGACTGTTTTGCTAACTTTTACTAATTTTTTAATATCACATGCCACAGTCTGAAAAAGATCTCATTCTTGGCGGAATCCTCTTATATACGATCTTAAAAGAGTTCTTTTAAAAATAAAAAGATATTCTAACAACCAAAAGACGAATTGCAAAATGTTGTTTTCTATAATCCCATATTTTAATAAAAAAAAATTTTACTAGAAGAATATTTCTTTTCCAACGAAGTAACCTAGTAATCGAAAATTTACATTATTTTTTTCCTCTCTTTTGAATCAAGAACAATATGTTTTAGAATATTAAGGTAGAATATTTTCTCATTAGAAGAAATTTCTATTAAAAACAAAACTAATTAAATTTATCTGTAAGTTCTTAAAGAATATGCAAATATTTAAGATTATTTTTTCTAGTTTCACAAGAATTCTCTTGAGCTCTATAAGAAGATTCCGCTAAAAATAAAGTAATATTTTTATGGATTTGGCTTTCCCTCCTAAAATAAAAACAGCACATGTAAAATGAGAAGATGGCTGCGAAATCACTGCAGAATATCGATTTATCGCTTGACTACAAAAATTCCACAGTAAATTTCACTATAAGATTCTCTCCGCATGTGTGCATAGCAGGCAGCAATAGTGTTGCACTCTATCGTGCCGGTGAAAGGGGAAAAACAGATTTGGCGTTAACCATACGCGTCACACCTTACGCTTGCAGCTCTGGACACATTATTGATTAACGCATTCCCGATTAACTCGCTCATAATTAACACATTTGCGATCAACGCGCTCGCGTTGAAGCGGCCTCATTACACGCAGCCAGGCACTGAAATCCTCTTTCGTTACCCTCCTTCGTGTTGCGCGGGAATCGAGATTGTCTTTGTCGAACGCCGATGTTATCGCACCTGAACTTGATTTGTCGAGGCTATGGGCGGCCTTTGTCGCGAGTGACGATCCGCCGGTGCGGGTCGCGTGCGACAATGAAAAATTCCGATCGCGTGTCGCTTTGCGCGCGATCGCGTGCGATTGTGCGGCCGTTTAGAGCCGCGCGCGCAGTAATGTGAATCTCATATCGCGCCCCTCCTCTCTCTTTCTCTCACACACACTTTCTCTTGTTCTCTCTCTCTCTCTCTCTCTCTCTCTCTCTCTCTCTCTCCTTTGCTCAAATTAATATAAAGCCACCGCGCGGCCATACGTCTTGCTGTTTAACTGATCGTCGTAAATTCGCGCGGTACGCCAGGAAACGAACGGCTGGGCGGGCGCGGCTCGTCCTCTCGCAGTTTCTTATTTATTAAAAGCCGTAATCAGCATCGAGCATTGTCGAAATTATTCGGCCGTTATGTCTCCGGGTAGGCTACCGGGCGTCCTCGCTAATGCCCGCGCGTGCCGTTTGCATCGCCGTCGTCGTCTGCTCGTCACACGCACGTTACGCGTTTGATCCTCCTCTCCTTCGCTCACGCGCGTTCTCCCGTTCCTCGCGAGCGAGCGCGCGGGACTTCAAAAGGAGTTCGTTAACCCGGGGCTCCGGTCGCGCAGCACGCGGGCGCGATCGCAGAGGAGATCGGGCCGCGCGCGTAATACCGCGCGTAACAAGGTGCGTAATTGGCCGCACGCGAGTAAATGCGCGCGTGCGCGCATGCAGAAGAGTTTGGACTCGTGCCCGGACGTGCCCGGGCAAAAATCGCCCGGGATTAAATCGCCGACATCAGTGGAACTCATTCCCGCCCGCGTTCGTCGCGCAACTTCTTTCTCTTCCTTTCTCCCCCTCCTATCTACCTATTTCTCTTTTTCTCGAGGCCAAGTTCAGCGGTGGATGATGCCTCGAGTCAACCCCGCGACGCGTTCGTTCACTCGACTAGCTGCAACTAATTTGCGGGGATTTACTTTAAGATGAGCTGCCAACCGTATACTTTTGCGATAGTCTCTTCCTTTGAAGATCGATGCCCCTTTTACCAAGTAGAGTTTCCATTTAGTGCGTACACACAGAAAAATACCATTCTCTATTGCTAGAAAAAGCGACTACTTCTTCTAATTTACTTCTAGTTAATTTCTTTCAAGCAATGGTTATCTTTAACGAAGAATATTTTCTTTGTAACAGTTATCCAATATATTTGTAACAAATTTGAGAAAAACTCGTTATCATGTATTCAAAAAAGAGGAACTCTAATTGCAAGAATATTATAAAATTTTGTCGAAGAAAAAGTTTGTTCAACTCTATGTAGTAAGTAAATCGAATTTTTAGTTTGATCCAACATTCTCGATTGAAATGCTAAATGCTAGGATGCCGCATAATACTTTGAACAAGTAACATTTATTTGAATGCAGTATATATTTGTCTGCGTACACGGTTCCATAAAAATTAGATATTCCATTTTGAGACAGAGAAAAATATATTACCTCCAACCGAGATAGAGAAACTTAATATTTGAATTGCTGCGCTCATTTTTGTTAGCGTAGATCGTAGATAGCGTTGTGTGTCGTGTTATCGTGCATGAAAATGTTTAGAGCACTTAAACACTTATATATTCTGTTCTCTTTCTCTCTCTACATGCTCACGTGTACACGGATCGATGGTACGTATCTTCATTGTAAATAGCAGCGGGTCTCCATAACGATATGCGTCTCCGATAACGAAGCAGCGCCGAAACGCGGCGACACCATCGTCAATATCGACGTCGTAAACCGCTCGATACCATTCTCTGTCGTGAATTCCGAATATTTATACGAGCACAATCGTACTCTCTTCGCGGTAGCTCAGTGTGCACAATCATATACTCGTTTGACTACGCCATAATAATGATAGTCAGACATGAATCCTCGTGTTGTCGTCAAGTATCTCGTATGTACGCAACGTAACCCACGTCGTGATCGATGTAAATGATAGAATAAAATCCCGAATAACAAGCTTCTTTCTTTTCCTCTCTTGTGTCTCGTTATCTCGACTTATGCTAACCGCAATATAAAATTTAGACTCTATTTCGGAGTCTTGTCAAGTATTTAGGAACAAGCTTCGTTGAATTACCTAAAACACTGCATACGATATTCGCGAGTTCTCCTCCAAAATCCGTAGGAGTCGCTTGCGAAAAGCCAGCTCGTATCCCTTAATAAGTAAAGACTCAGCGTCGGGACAGTTAACCCAAATACTCTCGCGACGCCTTGGCATGTTTTTGCGCGTTTGGGAGCCTCTGCACGACGCAGAGGCAGCCTCTTTCCCGACAGTGAGGCAGGCAATTCGAAAAAAAATGTGGCACCTGCCTCCTGCTCGCGAGCTCCGAGCCGAGAGAGAGCAACCCAGGCTGCTCGCTCGTGCTATAACTGCAATCTGTTATTTCACCATTCCCCGGACTCGCGCGCTCACTTTTCGTTTCTCTTTCCATCCTCTCATCCCTTACGCGCCACCGGCCTCTTCCTCCTCCTCCTCATCTTTTTCCTCATCCTCATCCTCGCTTGGAGCAATCTTATCGATGCCTCGGGAACGTGCCGTCGCATAAACCGAGGATTTGTTAGACGGCCGAGGCGATACGCAGCCAAAGATAACGCCAATTAGAGCAGAAAAACATATGATGAATTATTTTGTCCATCATGACCGCTAATAAGGGTACGCACGTGTGCAATTTTTCTGGTACGATTATCAAGTTGCTCATATCGAGCTGTCGACAGACCCCACAAAACGTCATTACCTCTGGTCTTTCCTTTTCATTATTTATTTGACAGGATGGGCTACATTTACACTGTAGCCTTAGAATTATTTTGGTATGGCAATATGGAGCAAAATGAGAAAATATCAGGCTGTATTTAGTTCTAATGTATATATCTGGGGTTGAGCTCCCAACGTGACATATTTACGGTCAAAAAAAGATAAAGGAAGGATTAGGGAATTTCGGTGTGAATAAACCTTAGTGACGAATAAACAACGAAATTATATATTGAATATCGCGAAGTTTATCAAATCGGGCTCTTCATTCATAGAATTTTTAATTAGCTTTAAAAAAAGGACATTTCCTGTATTTATGCTTATTTATTTGTATGTTCCTCTCCATAACTCGAGAACCGTTAGAGATATCGAGATGAAACTTTTTATAACTTATTCAGTGCGCGTTATTGCTCAGGCTTGTCCAGGAAATTGATTTGGGAATTTGGGAATCCCATTACTTTCTTGAAAATCCAGAGATATTTAGACGTACAAGACGAAACTTTTATTTTTAATTGATAAAAAAACAATTTTTTTAACCAGCTTTAAAAACAAGTTTTTAGTAAATAATTAAAAAGTACAAAATAAAAAAAGTTTTAATAGAAATAAGCCGCCTTAAGAACAGAAAACATTTTCTAATCAATATACCTGAAATCTTATCCTAATATTCTAATGATATTAAAATCCAGTGTAAAAAGTACAAATTAAATAGATAACTAACTACTTAACTTCAGGGAAATAACTAAAGAAAACTACACGAAAAAATTTGTTTGGATTGAGCAAATTTCTGGTAAAATATAAGCCAACAAAAAATTCCTGTTGAAGTTATCAGAATTTTGTTTAAGTGAACAAAATTTCTGTTTTTTAACAGAATTCTGGTAACTCAAACCGAAATTTTCGTTTGTATTTCACTACAAAAAAAATTAATCCAACCAGATTTTTTTCTCGTGTAGAATTGACTCAATCAGCCGGGAAGACACACCGACT